TGGTGTGATTGTACCAGCTGCTGGTGCGACTTCAAAAACTATTTGAAAATTTTATGAATGTAACAGCGTGCTGGTGTCGTGAGTGGTGAAATTAGCTCAATTTTGTAAGTAAAAAATATTTTGGCGGAAATTTCAAAGCCGTGTTTGTGGAATATTAAGTTCACGATATTGCAGTTGTGAATTAAAAAAAAAACAATGTTTAACAAAATGGTAGAAAAATTATGAAATTTCGGCTCAAATCATTTCGATCTTTCCTCGACCTCATTTGTAAAGAAATAAATATTGTACCAGCATGCTGGTAAGTTATATGCTTCGAGCATGATGGTACAATCACTTGATCGATCCAGCAAGCTGGTGTCGTATATTTCCCCTTTTTTACGAAAAGGTTTTTGGTGTGTATGTATGATTATGTAAGTAAACAATTTTAGCTACCATTTTTAGCCACAACGACCTTTTTTAGCTCTTTTTTAGCCCTTTTTTTAAAGGAATTTGGCTACCGCAAAAAATGCTTCGCGGCAACACTGATCACAACTGCTCTAACTTTTAGTATCAAGTCATGAGGTGCAACTCGCCTATTAACCATTTCTTTATGAACTATCGTGCAAGTAGTTTTGATTAATTACACCAGGCTGAGGTTCAAATACCCAATCGGCCATCGCAAAATAATTTCTTGCGGCACCAATCTTAATTTTTGAGTCTGGGGAGAGTTCAAATATGTACATCGAATGAAATATGTACTTTATTATGAATGTATTAAATGGAAACTATCTTATATGTAAAAATATATTGCGATTTACTTCAAATGAATGATGTACAATTTTTTATATATGGATCTAATTTTAATAATAATATTTATTACTTTCATCTAAATTGCTTTTATTGTACGTTTTCACGAGTAGTTGCAGTTTTCAGCAATTGTCTCTGGCCGACTATACGTGTTAAAGCTAAATAATTTCACAATTTCTACCCTATAAAAGGTTTATATTTTAATAAAATGCGATCAATTACTTAAGAATATATAAATTCCGATCAAACTATAGTACTGAATGCTTGAGAAACAATTATTCAAATCAAATCATCAATAGTGTACGCACTCGGAGCGAATTTTGGAACACGGAGCGAATTATGCATATTAAGACTACATAATTTTTAACTTTCTACCATATTATACGTTTATATTTCAATGTAATATGATTAATTACTGAAGAATATATAAACTCCGATCAAACTTCACTACTGAATGCTTGACAAACAATTTTTGAATCAAAATATCAATAGAGAACACGCTCGGAGCGAATTTTAGAACACGATATAACATATGCATGTGAAGACTAAATAATTTCTCATAAGCTTATGTTTTAATATAATAAAATTAATTACTGAAGAATATATTAACTGCGATCAACCTATAGTTTTAATTGTTTGACAAACTATTTAAATCACATGATCAACAGTGAACGCGCTCGGAGCGAATTTTGGAACACTTCATAAAATATTTACAGAGGAAGTATATTATTTGGTAAAGATGAAACAACAAGAACAAAGTGTGATTGAATTTGACGTTGCTCTCAGAAGAACAATCCTTTAAAGTCAAATTGAAAAAAATGTGTATGAATTTTGAATAATTTTTTTATATTTTATGACATAAAAATATCTTAAGAGCCGCACTGAGTTGTCAATAATACCTTGTTTAATACACCCATGATACAAATATTTAAAGGTAAAACCGCTTGCTCAATTCGTCGGCCATCATCCATTTTTTGAAGTTTGTCTATTTTATAAAATTGAAATTTCGAGAGCGACTCAAATGCCAAATAAAAGTTAAAAAAAAAAATATTTTAAAATATTGAAATTTTCTTTTATTTGAGACTGGAAATGAGAATATATTTGTGAGATAATGTCGAGATATCATGAAAAAGTGTTCCTTTATTTATTTTTACTTAAAATCCTTAGATACGTATCTTGATTTTTTTTCTGGAGTGCAATGGGGTATAGTCGTTGCGCTGGGTATGCAGTTACAGTTTGATTTGTGGTGGGAGAGAGACTCCGTCGCCGAGTACTGTCGTTCACCCCGGTGGACGAGCGCCTAGCCACAATCCGCATCAAAGCGAGATTCTTCAACATCTCGCTTATCTGCGCCCATGCCCCCACGGAAGAGAAGGATGATGTATCCAAGGATCTCTTCTATGAGCGCTTGGAACGAACATATGAGCGCTGCCACCGCCACGATATGAAAATCGTGCTTGGCAACTTCAATGCCAGGGTGGGCAAGGAAGGGCTCTTTGGAACCACCGTCGGAAAATTCAGCCTTCACGACGAAACGTCCGACAACGGATTGAGGCTAATCGACTTCGCCGGGGCCCGAAACATGGTAGTATGCAGTACTAGGTTCAAGCATAAAAAGATCCATCAAGCTACGTGGATGTCTCCGGATCGAAAAACGAGAAACCAAATCGATAATGTTGTGATAGACGGAAGGCATGCTTCCAGTGTTTTAGACGTACGCACACTCCGAGGCCCAAACATCGACTCGGGCCACTATCTTGTTGCAGCCAAGATACGCACCCGCCTCTGTGCAACAAAAAATGTGCGCCCAAATATGCAAGGAAAGCTTAACGTCGAAAAGCTGCAATCACAAACATACAGCCAGCGCTTTCGCTACTCGACTCTCACACCTGCTCTCAGAGAGCACTTTTCAACAAACCGACATATGCGAGCAGTGGAACCACATTTCCCACTCATTAAGTACCGCCGCCGAAGAAATAGTCGGAGTTCAGCGAGCCCGTAAGAACAACTGGTACGATGAGGAGTGTCAGGAAGCTGCAGAGAAAAAAGATGCCGCCTACAGGGCCCCGCTGCGATCGGGCGCAACGCGCGCTATGTGGGACCGCTATAGGGGTCTGAAGAGGGAAGCGAGACGAATTTGCCGCAATAAGAAGAGAGAGGCCGAAATACGTGAGTGCGAAAAGCTTGAATTGCTGGCCGACAGGAACAATGCCCGAAAATTTTACCAGAGAGTTAGGCGACTTACGGAAGGTTTAAAGACCGGGGAGAAGAAGAACCCGAGCCCGCAGTCGATGATGACGGAGTCGACGTTCCACCGCCTGACTATGACGAGGTACGTATAGCAATAACGCGGCTGAAAAACAACAAAGCTGCTGGAGCTGACAGCCTGCCAGCTGAGCTATTCAAGTACGGCGGCGAGGAGTTGATAAGGTGTATGCATCAACTCTTGTGTAGAATAAGGTCAGATGAACGCATGCACCACGATTGGAATTTAAGTGTGCTCTGCCCAATCCATAAGAAAGGTGACCCCGCCATTCGCACCAACTACCGCGGGATCAGCCTTCTAAGCATAGGTTACAAGGTCTTATCAAGCGTATTGTGTGAAAGACTGAATCCCACCGTCAATGAACTGATTGGGCCTTATCAGTGTGGCTTTAGATCTGGCAAATCCACCATAGACCAGGTATTCACAATAATCCAAAGACAAAGGAAAGACCTCTCCGAGCCGTTCGCCACAAAACGGGGTTTCAGACAGGGCGACTCCCTTTCATGTGACTTCTTTAATCTGATGTTGGAGAAGATAATAAGAGCTGCAGAACTGAATGGCTCAGGAACAATTTACTACAAGAGCGTGCAATTGCTGGCTTATACCGATGACATCGACTTCATCGGTAACAAAAACCGCGAAGTCTGTTCTCCCTTTTCCAAGTTGGATAGGAAAGCAAAGCGAATGGGTCTGGTGGCAAACGAGGACAAGACGAAGTATCTCCTGTCATCAATCAAAAACAGTCAGCACATTCGCGCCTTGGCACCCACGACTCTGTTGACAGTTCGCAATTTCGAGAAAGAATTTCGTTTACTTGGGAACCAGCATTAACTCCGATAATAATGTCAGCATTGAAATCCAACGCAGAATCACTCTTGCCAACAAGTGATACTTTGGACTGAGTAGGCAATTCAGGACTAAAGTCCTCTCTCGACGTACGAAAACCACGCTCTATAAGTCACTCATCATGCCCGTGCTGGTATATGGCGCAGAAGCATGGACAATGAGAACATCCGATGAGGCGGCTCTTGGAGTGTTTGAGAGAAAGATTTTGCGGAAGATTTACGGGCCTTTACGCGTTGGCGACGGCGAGTACCGCAGACGATGGAACGATGAGCTGTATGAGCTTTACAACGATATGGACATAGTGCAGCGAATTAAAATACAGCGGCTCCGCTGGCTTGGTCATGTCGTTCGAATGGACACCGACGCTCCAGCTCTGAAAGTATTCAACTCGGAACCCGCTGGTGGTAGCAGAGGAAGAGGGAGGCCCCCACTGTGATGGAAAGATCAAGTGGAGAAGGACTTGGCTTCACTTGGCGTTTCCAATTGGCGTCAGTTGGCACAGAGGAGAAACGACTGGCGTGCTTTGCTGAACTCGGCCAAAATCGCTTAGGCGATTACAGCGCCAAAAAAGAAGAAGAGAAGATTTTTTTTCTGTAGAATACGTATTCATTTTTTTGACGATTTAAAAAAAAAAGGGAGGACAGTCGGGTCTACGTTACCAGAACGACGTGAATGCGCATCGAAGTCGGTTGTATTTTTTGCATAAAATTACTTGTTATTATTGAGATACAGTTTCGCTAGTGTTTACAGATTTCTCGACATACTTGTTCATATTTCTGTTATTTATTATTTTTCTTCTTAGTCATTTATATGTTTAGGACTTAAGGCTCTGTTATGCATACTTGGCATTGCATGCACTGCTATACCATTTTTACGTAGAAATCAAAAAACAACAGACTTTTACGTATGTAATGCTGTGCGTTGGGTAACCGCTTACACGCGAAGCTCATTTAACAGATTCCTTATGTGACAACTCTCAAGCAATGCCAAGTATGCATAACGGAGCCTTTACTGTGGGTGCTTTAAGATTCATTTTGTAAATATGTATGTACATATAAAAAACAATTGCGTTATTTTATTTTATTTTAAATTATGCATTTTATTCGTGCAATTTTTTATGTTTAATAGTTTTGAGAACATTTTTTGGTTCTGTTGTATTCTTTTATTGCATGCATTAAACTTTCTTAATTTAAGTTATAATATTGAAGATATGCCTTCTGCCTTTGTCAAGCACTTTAGCTAGGTTCGAGAAGTTTAGCATATGCGCGTAAAAGTATAGAGTAGGTATACGGCTGTGTTGCCGCGATTCTCCAACATCTTGTCAAAGGAGAATACATATTGGTGGCAATCACGGAATCCATCGTAGTCCGATTTTTCATAAAATCTACGAAAAGGCGATCACTGAATAGGAACTGTTATAAACGTGTGTATTCAAAGCATACGCTGCGTTCGTAGCTACTCGAATTCAATAGCATTTTCGTAGATTTCACGTAAAATCGGACTACGATGGAATCTGTGATAGCCTTGATTAGTTCGTGCGAGTATGACGTATGGATCGATTATGGATGGCAACGGAATCTCAGTTGGGCTGCCGATGGACAGCGCCACTGAAATGAAAATGTATTATATTATGAATAGCAATAATTAAGTTTCATAAAGTTCAAAATGATACAAATTAAAAAAAGTTGAAAAAAGAAATAAAGTATCTCAATCAAAATTTCCCGGCAGCCTCAAAAATGCAGTTGCCAATATAGCGCAACTCAGTTTCTAGCTTTCAGTTGCTAGTTGCCATCTGTAATACCATTTCAGCTACTGGCCAACCAACTGAAGTTCGGTTGTCCTCCGTAATCGACCCATAAAATCGGAATTGAATATGCATGCACGTTCTGCAGAACGATAAATATTTTGTATATATATATTTAACGATTGTCAAAGGCATGCCAGAAGATGTTTCATCATAGGTTTGGGGCCATCATCTTCATCGAGTAGGTTCTTCGATTCCAAAAACTTTACAACCTCTATATGCCAGCAACCCTTAGTGTTTTTGCCAATGACATGGCACTATTGCACTGTTAATAACCAAATTTAGCCGCAGTTGCATTCAGACGTGATATAATAGCTGGTGTCGGCAAGCTGTGGGAATGCCCAGAAGATGGCGTTTGTTCAGCTATCGAAATCATTGCACCGACGGCGGTTGGCAGTACTGCTGGTACATATTTACCACAGCAGTGGTTGGGGCATTTTGTTCTGCAACAATAGCCTGCAATGATGACATGTCCTATAATGTCGACGAGCAAAGATATAAAATTGAAAATGACTAACCTTATTCCCGGCTGATTTGGAAGACCACCCTTGGTCACGACCAGAACGCATTTACCAAAAGGAAAAACCGCAGGGATTGCAGTAGTTCTTATAATCACCGTTGATGATGCTGTGCTTGTTATTAATAGTCTGAAAAGACAGAAATTTGCATTAATCAAATGTTAAACACATCAAAAAAATAAATTTTAATAATTTGTTTACCATTTCACAAACCGAATTACCAAGAAATATAAACTCACCGCGATGCGATACAGAAATAAAAACCAACAGGACTGCATTTTCTTGGTAAACAACACAAGCGCTCAGAGAAATCTGATCCGCAATATTATTTTGTAAAAATAAGAGCTGAAAAGAGTTTCCAAACATGATTATCGCATTATCTAATTAGCGCACATTGTTGTGTTTATTTTTAGTAGAATATAATTGTATTATCTAAGACTTTTTTCAATGTTTCCTAATATTCATTCTTTTGGCATGCAAAAACAACCATGTGCTCAATTTCTTGTGGGGAAATTTGGTCCCCATAAAGGACTTTCACCACGAAACAGCTACATAAACAAAAACCTTTTCTACTGGTATACACAGAGAAAATGATACAGGTAAAACGCAAGTTTTTAAAAGAAATTGCAAAATAAAATTTTTTGATATAATTTTACTTCATACAAAATAAAAAATATAGTATTTGTACTTACGACTTTAAAACGAAACATTCGCAAAACAAAAACGATCGTTATAATATATTCACTTTTTTTTACTGAGGAGAACAAACGAAACAAATAGCGTCAAAAAAGCGTATTTTAAAAACTAAAATGAAACATTTTACAATATTGTCCCAACAAGTTGTAGTGCGATACAATTTTCAACAACCAAAATAAAACTAGACATTTTTAAAACAAAAACGTTCATTTATTTTCAGTCAATTAGGTATGAAAAATATTTAAACCTAAAATGTTTTGCATTAAAATTTAAAAGCTACTTAGCTATAATGAAAAACTTTCTTATGTATGAATCATTTTTCGGAAAAATTGTGTTCAGATAAATAAGTTACTTCAATCTCCAGAAAAGGCGATGAAGTGTATACAAACAATACTGCCATTCTATCCACTAACTGCATACATATAAGGGACATTGGTGGAATTCTTTGACCTAAAAAAGCTTTGGTAAGAGTAACTTATAAAAACAAAATCCTATGGGTTATTGAATATTCATTTAAAACTTTCTTAATTTAAATTACAGGATTTGATAAGCGTGAAGCAAAATTAGCAGGCCCAGCTTGGAAGTAAAGCAGGAACATCTGTATGTATGTATTAATGTATGTATATAGTAAAGCTCTAGATATCCGGGTATCGAGCAATGCGAGTAGCTCTGTGTACTGTGGTTTTGCCATCGCCGCGAGTTGTTTTGGTGTGCGCATAGTTATTTAAAAATATAAAGTTTGATGCCAACCGGGGTTTCTCAGTGGATATATAATTCATGAGAATTATAGTTTGAAAGTATCTATTTAGCCAGATATTGACCTGGGTTTTCGCACGACTGTTCCTGTTTCATCGTTTCTTTTTAGGAAATTTTTACGACCATATACATATGTATTATTTACACTAGTAACTATTTATGTAAATGTGTATGTATTTTTTATGCTTAATATATGCAAATAAAAGAAGAAAACAACCATCGAGTAAATTTTTATTTGTGTCAAACTGAAACTTTTTTTCCAATAATAAACGGTTAGCTGATTCAAGTCTACAGCAAGTTCACAAAATTAATTGAAAACTTGTATCAACCAAAGCATTGTTTATATTTGCTCAACAATGATTTTATTCAGCTAAAAATATTGTCCACTCAAGGTAGTCGTTTTGCAATTATTACCAAATAAACATTTGTCCCAACTAGAAGTCTCAAGTAAATTGCATACTTTCGTGAACTAGATATTTATTTCGCCATATCCAACTATGCCACTTGGTCACTATAACCAAATCTTGGTAATTATAACTAAACCTTTTTCTGAGTGTATGTAAGTATCGAATATTATTTGTCAAAGGTCTGTTGAAAAAACTGCGTGCATCGCTAGTACTTTTTCTATTTTTTCTTATATAAGTGTAATTATTTATTTTTTCTCATAAAGCTTTTTATGATTAAGTTCCGTGATTCCTTTTATTAGTCTTTCAGCTCGAAAACAGCCACTCACATCCTCGCTCAATTACAAAATGCCGTAACTAACTAAAAATCCAAAATTCACTTTTTGATTGATTATAATGCATTTCATCGAATCACAGTCCCCACATCGTTTAATGCAATACAAAATTTAGTTTAATTTAGTTAGTTGTGGCTTTTTTGCATTTCAGCGACAATGTGAAATACGACCTTTCCATACTATTTAACGATATGTTGAAAATTCTCGTTCATTAGCCTCAAAATATCAAAGCACATTGAGCGCATGGAGTGGAACAATAAAACGGATTTGATGGCTTATGGTACCAACAGCGGTGAGTAATTAATTGTGACTGCCTGCAACTAGGAAAAGTCGAGCTCAGCTAATAAAAACACTAATTACAAGTTATTCATTACAGGTGAACCTTTCCAATAAGTCACTCGGGAACTAAGCAGATCTGAGACCTTCATCGTCCGTGACTCTAACAATTCAAATTAATATAAAAAACGGTGTGCCTCTTTAACAAAATAACATTCCCACGACAGCCGGTTCTATGTACCGGAATGACTCGGGTTTTACCCGACCAACAACCCTTGGTTTCGGCGATCTAACCCCGTTTAGGTGGGCGAAATCCATCAAACGTTGCTCGATCCTAGGGCTACACCTTCTCCGCACGTTTCTGCTCAGGGCTGGCAGAGAGTCGAACCCAGGGCCAGAAATCTACACCTGCTGCGTATGCCAGAGACGACTGCATACAAACTCCACCTCGGTCAGGTGCAATTCCTCTGACGGGTGGAGTCACCTCCGTAACTGCTCGGCCCTGCGTACGCACCGGCAATGGACCACGTCGTTCGTGGCCCCATGCTGTGCGAACCGGACCGCCTCCACGGGAAACCACCACCCGCCTGGGCAGCACACAATCAACACACCCACACCCCAACACAACACAACAATAGACACACAAACAAACACAATAGCACCCACAAACCGCCGCCGGCAACTCCTAGTCCCTCCGACAATCTGCTCTGTTTGTCAGTCCAGAATATACCGTAACATGACATCAGTCAAGTGCAACTCTTGCCTCGGCTGGTGCCACTTTAGGACGTGCTCAGGACTTCGCAACACACGAGATTGGACGAGTGACTATGTGGGCCCCTGCTGTGCTGCCCCGTCGCATCCCTTCACCACCACAAGGCAGCACCCCCTTTTGCAGCACGTACGGCAGGGGGCCGGCAGGCAACACAACTCTTTAACACCACACATCACAATCGGTCTCCCAAGGCACACAAAGGTGCTACAATTAACTGTAACGGACTCCAGAGCAAGATCGAGGAGATAACTGTCTTTATGGGAAGGCATGGAATATTAATAGCTGCGGCCCAAGAGACGAAGTTGCGCGGCAATTCAACCCTGTTGAATTGCGCTGTATACAACGTGCACCGTCGAGATCGCGAGCGAGGTAATGGTGGAGGTTTAGCGTTCATCACGCACCACACTATGCAGTATCGTCTCATTGAAGCAGAAATCGACCACAGGGATACCATTCTGGAATGTCAGGGTATTGCTATCCGGTCAGGCGATGTTGAGCTCGAAATATTTAACGTATACATACCCCCTGTCACCAGCTGCCCGGCAGGATATCACCCTGAAATAGGTGCGCTACTCAGAGGTGAAAACCGTATGGTAGTTGGTGACTTTATCGCGCACCACGATCTCTGGCACTCAAGCCTGTCAAATGATCGTAGGGGAATACATCTGGCTGAGCAGATAGACGATTCGACATTCTGCACAATGAACGACTACGCACCCACCAGGAATATGGGCAGCTGCTGCAGATCTAACAATTGTCAGCGCTGGTCTAATAAACAGCGTATCATGGCGACCTATGCTGACTCTAGCATCAGACCATCTGCCCATAGTCATCTCGATTGATAAACCTGCCGACTTTGCTTCCGTGGATCACCGGACTTATGTCAACTTTTCCAAAGCTGAATGGAAAGGTTTCACGGATGTTACTGAGGGCGCCTTCACTGCACTACCCATACAAACCGACGTTCATGTAGGTGAACGTAAGTTCCGCAGGGTTGTCACTGCTGCTGCAGCTCGCTTCATCCCAGCAGGATGTATTAAGGACCCACGTCCAAATTTTCCTGCCGAAGCGGCTGTTCTAGCTGATGAGCGCGACAACCTTCGTCAGGCCGATCCCGGAAATCCCCGTATTAGGGATCTTAATTCTGAGATTCGGCAACTTGTGAACGTACATAAGCGAAAGAAATGGGAAGAGCATCTGAAGACCTGCAACTTCCCCTCTGGTGTGAGCAAGCTTTGGTCAACCGTGAGGTCTTTGTCCAACCCGACGAAGCGCGACGACAGAGTCGAGATAGACTTTGGTGATCACGCTTCGTCGGACCCGGAGAGATGCGCGAGCTATTTTAGCCGGCAGTTCATTCTGCATCCTCCGGTGGATAAAGCCAAACGTCGAGTGACCAGAAGGCTGCACAAAATGCCAAAACCTTGCCAAAACCTAGTGTGCCTCTTGTTTTCACCAGCGGTGAGGTAAGGGTAGCCATCGGGAAGGCGAAAGCCTCCAAAGCCATTGGATCTGACGGAATATGCATGCTGATACTGAAAAAATTGTGTCCTGCGGGAGTAGCGTACCTAACGGAGGTCCTCAACCTGTCTATGGCCACTCTCATCATTCCAGACATGGGGGAAAATGGGGAGAGTGGCCCCCCAACCCGCCCGATAACTCTCCTTTCCCCGGGAGCGAAGACACTCGAGGCCCTGCTGCTCCCGTACTTCACGAACCACCTGACCCCAGCGAAGCATCAACATGGGTTCCGTAAAGTGCATAGTACAACAACAGTACTTAACGCCATAAACACTCAGATAACTCGTGGCCTAAACCGAAACCGCCCCTGTGAGAGAACTATTCTAGTAGCGTTGGAGCTGTCCAAGGCGTTCGACACTGCCAGTCATT